GGGGGAGCGCGGAGGGCGGCGGAGACAGCGACAAGGGAACAAGGGGAAAGCGAAACTGGAACCCCTCGATTTGGTCTATACACAAAAGCGTTGCGCGCGGTGGTGGCAGAACCGAAAACCGAGGGGCATCCGATTACACTGCCGCTGCAGACCAGTCCAGACTACTCGCCGACCGGAGGGCCCCCCAGAGGCTCCCCGGAGGACCCCCGGAGGCCGTACTCGTGGCTAGGATTATCGGTTAACAAGGCGTCGGCGTGTCGCGCTGTCCCGGCCAGTTGGGGTCGGGGCGCGCAAGGGTCCGAGGAACGGGGACCTACGGGCCAGCGAGCGGGCCGGGCACACTGATCTGCCGAGTGTGCTGGGCTGGGCTTGGGCTTGGACTGGCCAAGAGGGGCAGCAGGGTCGTACGGCGTGGCCTTTTGCTCTCGTGTACCGGTCACGTTTTCGGCTGTCACACCTCCGCCATCGGATAAACTTTGTGTAACGTTTAGCTCGTCGTTTAGTCGCGGGGCAGGGCTGGGCGGGGCGGGGTGGGGTGGCGTCAGTCTCAGGCGGGCCGGGGCAAAGGAGCAAAAGCACGGCGCTCCAGCCCACCTTGGCTGCTCAACAGGTTGATTTTATGATTTCCCCGTAGAGGCGAGGAGGTGGAAGGGCCCAGTCCTACGCACTGTTTGTTCGGCACCAAAACACTGTGCGCTCCCTCTTGCATCCAAAAAGGCAGAGCTTTATTGGAATCTATGTGAGACCTTGGGACAACGCCGTGGACTCGGTCGCGTATCCAACGTACGGACGGACTTGATACTTGATTCAAGAAACTGCATTGCGTGTGCTAATGTCGGTCAGCCGCCTGCGCCCCTCCGAGACAATGAACGAGAATAACTTCGTTGACTCAACAAGGACGTAAAAGGCGGCGCCCTGCTAAAGCATAATTTATGACACATGAATGTTTTACTGCCGCAGAGAGTGAATTATTGTCAACACTGTCTAGAGCGCGGGTGCGCCGGCTTTGCGCTCGGCCGTGCCCCGGCCACTTTTTAAAAAAACTTTTCCTCGTTTTTTAAACAGACTACAATCCGAGCCGCGAAATAGAATTGGAAATGTGCACGACAATAAAGGCTGCTGGGGGCTGGACCAGGCCACGCGTCACGCGAGCAGTGAGAGGTGCGGGGG